CCTTCGGTCCACGTCCTCCACGCCTCCCCTCCCTCCCCTCCCTCCCTCCCTCCCTCCCCTCCCTCCCCTCCCTCCCTCCCTCCCTCCCTCCCTCCCTCCCTCCTTTGCCCCTATGCCTCCATGCTCCGATACAACTGCTGCACAACGCTTGTGATAATAATATTGCCTCCCCCACTCCTGTGCATCCCTTGCTGTTACGTCCACTAGAGCTACCCCACCCCCTGTCGTTCAATGTCCACCCCCTCTTGTTCACTTCTTTTCTTGAGTACCCCTACCTCCCTTCTTCGTCATTGTTCGGGATCACTTCTCTGTAAACATTTCCGTACCCACCTACCCTGAAGTTAGGCACTACCCCACCCCCGGGCGTCCAAACCTCTTGGACCTTGAGCCGCTTTGGACAGATCGGCCATGGTTCGACTTCGCGACATCGCCACAACCCGCCTCCTCCTCCTCCTCGCCTTCCTCCTCGTGGCGATGCCATCCTGCGTATTAACCGAGCCAGCAGAGGGAGACTCACAAAGTAAGGAAGGTGAGCTTGACTTGCTTGAGTCCTCCTCCTATTCCAGCCATCCATTTCACCTGTACAAAGGAGGGGCCGTTTGTGTATAAGCGCTCAACTCGCTATTTTTGTCTCGACAGGTTCCCACACTCAGGCTAAAGATCATCATCAAGCTCCTCCATCTCGTCCCATCTCTACTCCGACGCCTGCAAAGCCAACCATGTCTTTGCGCCGCATCCTACCGAAGAACCTCAACGTCAAGGTTGTTGATGTGGATGTGGTGCAGCAGATCGACTATGGCCTGGAGACAATCCCGTCAATCGCAGCCTTTCTGACTATCAATCTTGCATTGAAATACCTGATGAGACAAGTCCTGGGAATCACCAAGTTTCCTCATCCCCTGGTCGGAATGTTCATGGCGTTTGCGGGGTTGATGTCAATGAAAGAAAAGGACGCAGCGAAGGTTCGCCTACTTGAGATCAATATCTTCCTTGTCTTTCACATTCACAGTCTACCCCCGTTGCTCTCTATTCCCTCCCTCTTGCATGAACCAGATTGCTCCTCCACGTTTCCTGATAACAGCATAGGTTGTCTCCTTTTTCAAGCCAGGATTGGATCTGCTTACCAATTTCCTCCCTGCCTTTTTCGCTCCTGGTACAAGAATGCTCTCCATTGCATGTCTCACTGCCAGCTTGCAGGTCTGATTGTCACACCGCTTGCGATGAAGGACGTCTCTGCAGTAGACTTCACCAAGTTCCTTTCGGTTCTGGGGCTGGGTTGGATCCGGCCGATTCTTCATACTAGTTGACGTCATGAGCAGGAGGATCAGGGCTCTACTTCATAATCGCCAACGTGGTGGCAATTCTGCAGGTATGCGAAGTGATTTGTGATGAGGGGGCATCTGGAAAGGTGAGGCTCGAGTCGCAGGAAAAAGGGAACAGGGAACAGAAAGCACAACCCCAGGCCCCAAAGAGGGTGTGGATTCTTCTCACCCATCCGCCTTGCAACTCAACGTGTGACAGGCGGGGTTTAAGAGTTGGTTTTCACCTCAGTTGGAGAAGATCTTCTTCACCCTGACAGGTTTGAGTTTGTTCGGCTTCGGCCATGATGATTGATTCACCTTTCCGCACCGAACAGCTGCAACTGGAATCCTGGGCCTCTTTCAGTCAGCACCCTGGTCACAATTGTTTTACGGGATGTATGCGTCTTGCGTTCTTTGATGGCTCGTGTCTTGACGTTCTTTTTGCTGCCCTTGTATGGTGCCCGCTTGTTTACAGCTCTACAATCTTCTCATTCATCTTCGCGTCTCGCCTTCCCCGCTACTTCAATCCGACGTTTGCAAACTTTTGGCATCCGCTTCTGACCACCTACATCTCGGTTGATCGTCCGTTCTAATTTTGTTACGACCTCTTACAAAGTTGTTTTGCTGCAGGCGACAGTGTGGTTTTTAGGCTACGGAGCAATGAAAGGAAAGAGTCTGCTGGATGTACTGGGAGAGTGAGTAGGTCGCATCTCCGTTCTGGTCCACTCAGCAAGTTTCGTGCAGATACCTCAAGACTGGTGGATTGTGGTCCTCTGCCTCTGGTGACCCGGATTCATAACTTTCAATGTAAAACTTGTTTCAGGAACTTCATCATGTTCTTCTTGGAACCAGCCATTATCTCTTTCGCCTTCGGTTTCATCCATTTGATTGTCCCGCTGTCATGACCAGACAGTGAAGGTCTTTATGAGAGAAGAGTTCTCCTCGTGCAGAATGCTGCAGCCATCATTGGTGGATCCTTCACAGCAGGTATTCTCATCCCACATGAAGACAAGGAGATAACCAACCTTGTCTCGCGCAGCTTTCGTTGGAATCTTTCTCATGGCTGGCCTTGCGAGAGCCTTCAACCCCTCTCGCACAATCAAGCTTGCGCTGCTTCCTCGTGCAACTGCTGGTTTGTTGCTGACAGAGGGCGAGATGAGGAGGTTGTCACATTCGAGCAGCCTTGGCGATCGTGCAGGCCGGGATGATCGGAGCGTCAACGGCTCTCACTACTGTCAACTGCTGCCTTACGGGTGCGACGGCTCATCTCCAGCTCTAGTTGATGTCACGCCAGGCATCGCCGGGGCAAACTTCGGGCCGAAACTTCTTGACTTGTTTGGACAGCGAGACCCCATCGGTAAGCTTGTGCTCCTGTGCTCCTTCGCTTCCCTCCGTCACTCGCTGACTTGACTTGCAGCTCGAGGGGTGGCGACAGGAGGTGCAGGTCTTGCGCTGGCATCGGCAGCGTAACGAAGTCTATTTGCTCGTTCGGCTGGCTGAGAGATGGGCAGGTTGGCATTGAACGATCCTCTCTCCTTCCCCTTCGGCGCCCTCTCCATGGCCATCACTTCGACCTTCGCCACGCTCCTGTTCTCTATCCCCCAGGTGATCCATCTCACTCTCTCAGCTTCCTTTGCTCAGCTTCCCTCCAGTTCTCCAGCTTAGTGCTCAGCATTATTGGAGCACAATAATGCGGAGGCTTACCGAAGTGCTCAAACGAGTCTTAGGACTCAGGAGAAGATATAAGAAACGCTTTTGTTTGAATACGAAAACGATAAAAATTTCTTGAAAGTACACAACATCAGCAGGGTCTACTCAACAGGCTTCTGTGATTGATAACAAGGTTCACTTGGGTGAGCTGGCATTTCTTTTCATCGTTTGCTTATCATGTTCGGAGACAATCTTGGACGCGTCCAGGAAAGGGCATCTACGCAGATATCATTTTGTGATAAGAACAAATTGAGAAAATTACCCGTGAACATCTTCGCTCTCTGCCGGCACTGTCGCACATCTATGGTAAACCTGCAATCCTTGTGAGCAATAGAGCTCCTCTTCTCTCCCTCCTGGATACCATGAAAGCAAGCAACAGCGGCAGGTAGAGAAGACTCCCTAGGAAGAGTTTGCGAGCTGAAGTATTTGTCTTGGCTGGAACGAGCAAGTCACAATCACCCTAAAAGCGCCACCAGTGCATACCTGGGTGCCCAGCAAGACCTTTCTGATGAAAGTCATACGCCAAGTATGCGAACAAGCCGTTGAGAACCTGCACGAGTCAAGGTCAAGAGACAATTCCTTTCCTTCCTTTCAACTCACCGTGGCCTCTGCAGCGAAGATCGGATGCACCATGCCGAGTAGGGGCGCACCAACACACATTGCCTGGCAATCAGTCGAGTCACATCTGAGCCCACCATGCGTCGAGCATCTTCACCTCCAAGTAGAGGCAGTGCCGCATACATGCCATGGTGGCTCTTGCAAGCTCAGGCGTGCTTGGCTCTCCTGGCATCATCTTGTAGCCTCCCAACCTAAGGACTCTGATCAACGCAACCTCGTCTTATCGCTCTGACTTGACTCACTTGTACTCTTTGCGCATCATGTACGCTAGGGAAAGGAAATGTGGCATCTGCCACGAGAACAACAGCCCCCCCATCACAAACGCCTGGAGAGCTTGTCAGAAATCCAAGACAAGACAGCACTCGATTCCCACCCCGATCCCTAAATCCCCAGTTGCTGCCGCCCATCCGATCATGGGAGGGATCGCGCCAACGACGGCACCGACCCAAGTGTTCCAGATGGTCTTCTGTTTCATCGGGGTATAAAGAGACGTGTAGATGCCTGCAGTAGCAGTTAACATGCTCAACCACAGGACTTTGAGCGGTACCGATGTTGGCAGCAGCGAGAGAGGCGGCAAGAGGGTTTGTAGTCACTGCTAGGAGAGCAACCCCACCGACACCCGCAAACGATGCTGCAATCGATGCATGCAGCGGAGAAATCTTTCCAACAACGAGAGGGCGACGACCTACCATCCAAGTCAAACGAGATGACGATGGTACATCGCAAAAGTACCTGTGCGCACCATCCTGGAGTCATTTTCGCGCTCAAGAATCTGATTGAATGCACTGGCACTCATCGCAGAGAGCATCGTTCCAGCACTCGTCATAGCCATGCCCGTCCATGAGAATGGCGCACCGACTGGAATCGCAATAGCAAACCTGCAGGAGAACAATAAGAAAATCAAATAGAGAACAAGTCGTTTACCCAGCAGCTGCTGTAAGCGTTACTAATGAGCTCAACTTTCCCTTTCCAGTTTCAAAGTACACAGCAGGCCATTCCCACGGTTTTACGTCAGACTTGCTCCTTGTTTTCCTTTTCTCTCCTTGCAGTGCAGCTTCCGGGTCGATAGCTTGGGCGGTGGATTCCAATGCAGCCAGGTTGAGCGTATCTTCCTGTGGGGGCCTTGAAGAGAATGCTGTTGAACGAGGGATCTGAAACCGGAATTGTCTCTGCCTGACAAAAGTTCTTGTCGCCATATTGCTCTGCAGGATGGAGAAGCACCGTTGGGAAGCTTGTTGAAGGCGGGACCTGAGATCTGCTAGTCAAAATGCACATCAAAAGCCGGAGAGGAGATACCTTGGCAAGATGACAGTCATCATGCCCAATGTTGATCGTGCCATCAACACTGAACAACAATCAACTGACCGCTGTCCCTGGTGAACCCTTCCAGCTCGGCCGCTGGCTGAACGTTAAAAGTCAGACATGTCGAAAGCAGCGCAAAGACAGGAATCTTCATTTCGCAACAGACTGGGAGACATATGATGAGAAACGTAACGAGAGGAAGTGGGAGAGACCAAGACGCAGAAATAAAAGCTGAATGGCAGGAGGAGGGGGCACGTGGAGTCAATGCAAGCACAAGAAGTCGTAGGGAAGCGAATGTGCGACACCCTAGCAGCACAATCAAATGAAATTGAGCTATGCACGGATTGATTGCATATGTCATGCTAAAATGAGACTTAGTTGGATTAGACTCGTTCGATCTATTTCAAGAAAGCCGAAAGTGATTGGAGTGAAAGAACAGCGGCAAGGAAACGTACTAGGGATTAGGCAGTCAGATTGTTCCATAGAGAGCTGAAAGCATGTACAGAAGCAAGCAAACACAGGGATCAATCATTGTGGATAAGAAGTAGTGAGCAGGATAAACGACAAAAGGTGCTTGCAAGGTGAGAACAGGAAATGCAGTTCGGCCGTAGATCAAAGGGCAACAGGTTGAATGTTTGGAGGAGAGGGACTGATAACTGAAGGTAGCATAATGTTGAAACTAGGGATTGAGGAGGAGGCGGGGGAGGATTGAGGAGGAGCATGGTCGGTCATAAAGCCGGAGGGCGAGAGCATAGAGGCGCTCAAGGACATGTTATAGGCGGCGCATCAACTGCATGATGCGCTATGACCCTGACTACCTCTACCCCCTGTGCGCATCGACCTGTGATGGGTGCCTGAGTGAATAGCCCCATGGTAGGGTACAAGTACAATCAAGGGTGGGGTAGTTGGATTTTATTGACGGGTGGTGAAATGCGATATGGTACGTTGACCTGGCAATCGTCTTGGTGCAAGACTTCATATTACCGGTCATTTAGTTTTAATTTTTGTTGGTAAATTCAGGTAGGGGTATACTACCTACCCAACTAAATTCCGACCCCTTATACGTAATCGATGATAGGACCCACCATCCGACAGTACCCCCATGGATCAAAACACCCCTTTCTCATACCCACCCCACCTCCACCTTCTCTTCTTCCACGACAGGCCCGCGTCAGGACTGGAATGGAATAAATCATAGGAAGATAGGGGGTGGGGTATGTCTTGATCCCTCAAATTACCCCTTCATATAACTAGTCTTTGTAGGGTGCAATGAAATGCAATGGGTGGGGGGTGATACCACCCAAGCGAGCAATACAGAAGGTTTACTCAACTTATTTTACTCAAGTATTGGGTCAGAGAGGGGAGGTGGAGCAATGAATTCGAAATCTATGATGGCGGGTAAGTGCACGGAGGGAGTGGAAGGCGAGGGAGGAGGAGGAGGAGGAGGAGGAGTTCAAAGTATTGTCTACGGATGGGAGAGACTTTGTGCTTGGCGTGCACGTTTCAAGACCTTTCATGTTGTCCATGTGCTAATATTGCAATCATCCAATCCCCGCTCTGTACGTGACGCTGTGAATTTGGTTCTTTGAATGTCTTCCAGGCTCCTCGAGAATCATTGCTGTAAGAATCAACCATGCACTGACGTTCTACTCTTAACAGAAAGAAGTAGCGAGATACAGAATCTCCTGCGGAAGCTTCTCGAACAAGAAAGCGCTGGGGCGAGAGAGCCTTCAACAGACAGTCGAACTTCCAACATGCCTTCAGTCAAGGTGAGGGGGCTGCATACAAACCCCATGGAATTCTGATATGTATCGCTGAAATTACAATTTCTAGAACTCGAGTAGCCAAGTGAGGAGCACAGATCGCGCAATACAATATGACTACGAGCACGCAAAGCAGCAAGTCCACTTCCATCCTCATGCAGACAATCTGGAAGACCATCGCGTCCCGGCGTCTCAGCATATCTATCAAGCCAGCGTAAACTTGTCGTCTCGTACGTTTTCAGGATGGTCTGACTTGAGATTCTGCAGCATAGCTATGGCAATGAGGCAAATTATCCACACTATGTCAAACGGAACTCGCCTTCATTCCCCTTCTTCAGCTCTTACGGACATCCTGATGTGAATGATTGTTTGACTTGTCGATCTCCAATCTGATCGATGGCTTCAAGTACTTGGATCAGAAGATGATGTCGGAGTTTAGCCGCAAGATGGAGATGCTGCAGGACCAATTCGAATGTTTGCTGCGCCCAAAACTTGAGGCTCTTAGGAATCAGGTTTGCATCGTCGTAGCAGGAGGTAGTTGGCAGCATCAGGGTGACGAGAAGGATTTCAGGTGGTGATGGTTGAGGATAGAACTCGAGAGATCTTCTTTGCAAGGGATCAGATCCTGGAGGAGGCGCAGAAGGACCATCAGGCGCTGCTCGAACAGGTCTGCACATCCTTGCACTCCCTCCTCGCTATGACCTTCCTGGGCAGATCCACATCGCTGCCGATCGGAAGATCTCCTCGCTCACAAGGGACTTGGAGACGCTGATGAGAGACGTGCAGCAGATTCATGACTTCACTGACAACCTCCAGCCTGTGAGCACTGCCCGCTGTAGCCTCCTCCTCCTTACTCCCTTGCCCCTTCAGAGAAAACCGCAGAATCAGACTGAAGTCTGGACGTTGCTATCACGCTATGACGAGCTTAGCATACAGTGTCAACAGGTGACTCAGTGCTGGTATGTGAAGTTGGTCATCAAGCATGTCTAGATGGCGAACAAGAAATTCAAGACCACCATCGAGGAGAGCGCAGGATCGCTCCGTGAGGAAGTCAAGGCGATACGAGGGCTTCAGCGGTCGCCTGCTCCCTCCAAGGAAGGCAAGGGAGCGCCGCCAGGGGACGAGGAGAAATCTCTAGAGGAGCAGGTGCAGGAGATGCGGAATCTGCTCAAGGTGAAGGACCAGATGGTATGGATGATGCTGGAGGAGAGAGGGCAACTGCAGTCCTCCCTCACCGACAAGGACTCGACCATCAAGGCGCTTGAGGTGATGGCGAAGGACTGAGGGCTGGCGCTGATACTCTTGTTCCTCAGGAGGAACTGGAGGAGTGGAAGAACATCTGTGAGAAATGGAAGCAAAAGGTGGAGACGATGACGGCGAAGGAGCCAGGCGGGGAGGAGTAGGCTGGGAATGAGTGATTGAATGAAGCTTTTAATGTCTAGGACGCCGCTCTTCCACCAACCGTTCCTCCTGGCCTACACTCCCCCTTCCCATTCTTTCTCTCCCCCCTTCTCCCTTCTCTCCCCCCTCCTCCCTTCGTTCCACCATTCGCCTCCTTCCCCTCTCTCTCACCCTCCTACGTTCCTTCCTCCTCCAGGCCCTTCCTCTTATTTCCGATGCCGGCCCTCTTCCCCGCCTTCACCATTTCCTGCCCCCTTCGCCCCCTCTCTGTTGCCGTCCGCCCTTCCCGTCCTCCCCTTCCCTGCTTGTGTCCCCTACGACTCCGCAGCCTCCTCCTCCTGTACCTCCCTCTTCTTCTCTCCTCTTGCTTGCATGCGCTCCTCTCCCATCGTCATGTAGCTGCGCATGTTTGAACTGAACCTCCCCTTTGTGCTGCTCGAGCAGAAGCTTGCCAGGTGCCATGGAGAGTCCTCGGTTGCTCCGGTAGTAGAGGACGTCCAACAAGAGAAGCATGGCGGATCATTGCCGAGTGCAGCCCGAGCTGAGCATGCGGCTCCTCCGCAGCAGCTGCGGGGGAGCAGGAGTATGGAGGCCTCGAGGGCATCGCGCAAGTTCAGGATCGACTCGGAGCCGGCGGAACAGCAGCAGACCTACATCCTCCAAGTGTGCTGGGCGGATGCGCATTGGACTGAGCACCATGTGATCCAGGAAGAGCGCTTCACAGACCTGACCCAAGTGGACGCGCTAGTGAGCAGGATACGGAGATGGCTGAACCTTCCTGGCAAGTTCCCCGTCTTCCTGCAGAGCGTGCTGGTGGACCCGCACCAAGGTGAGCTCCTCGTGTCTGTGTGGACGGCATGCGAGCGAGAACAGTACCTGAGCTCTCTCGTCTCGGACCTCCCCTCTGCGATTGGCTGCGTGGGGTCTGCTTCAACTTCCAGGAGGGGAGCGATTCCTCTATGGCCTCGGCGGAGCTGAGTGATGGACGCGGGGAGGGAGTCGGGCTGATGATGAAGTTTGCGCATACGATAAGGAGCAGCAAGGGCGCGAGGAGGGGGGAGAAGGAGAGTACGCTGAGGAAGGTTGAATGGCACCCCAACATCGCCCCGCTCATCGCGATCCTCGACGGCAATTTTGTGCTTCCACATTCGCCTCATGCTCCCGTCTCCCTCCTTGACGCCTGGATGTCCCTCGACGCTGAGCTGCAGCTGCTGGCGCCGCGGCAGAAGCAGAAAGTTTTTCTAGCGATCTCCCTACAGGTAGCGCAAGGCCTTGAGCACCTGCACTCCATGTCTGTGGTCCACCTGGACCTGAAACCTCAGAACATCCTCGTCAGATCTCCACCACGAGGTCAGCAGAACCCGGAGGCCTTGCTCGATGAGCTGCACTGCATGATCTGTGACTGGGACTTCTCGAGCAGATTCGAGCAGCCCGGCATGTCCAGGGGAGGGACTCCCGGGTACTGGAGCCCCGAGCAGGTCGTTCCTCTGCCAGGGGTAGAAGCTGCGAGATGGCAGGAGAGGAAGGACATGATGAGAAACAAGATGTTTCCCATCTCCATCAGCGCCTACTGGAGAGATTTCTGTAAGGATCCTCCGACCGAGGGGCCCGAGGAGCAGCCGATCAGTAAGCTGAGTGACTCGTGGGCGTGGGCGACTACCGTACTTGACTTGCTGGGCTTGCTCGACAAGATGCGAAGGATCGGCTTCCGACGGTTCGTCTCACATCTCAGGTGCGTCGCCTCCTCAACCCGATCCAAGGAAGGGACGAAATTGAGGGAGGAGACTGAAGGGGAGGAGGCAGTTTGCGAGCTCAGCCATGGTACGGCTGACGCGATGGACCTGGCGGATGTTGATGACGACTTCTCCATCCGCCTCGATCACTTTGTTGGGAGCGAAGGGTCGGCGCTTGCGGGTGTGCTTGCGAGATGTCTGAGTCTCGAACCGTCGCAGAGACTCTCCTCCGCCATGATCGTTCAGAACGTTCGCATGCTCGTGGGAGCGGAGCGGAACATGGTGCTTGAGGAGCCTGTCGATGTGTTGGAGAGCAGCATCTTCTCGCTGAGTCCATGGGCTGACGGAGCTTCAGCTGACAGTGAGCAGGGAGCCGTCAAATCTACAAAGAAGTTCAAGGGGGCAGGGGACGAGGAGAGAGCGTCGGTTCTGAATCCTGTCGCAGTGATGTGCTTGGAGATCGAGGCACTGTGCTCTAAGATCACTGGAAGCAAGTCAGATGCGGGAGACATCTGGTCCACCACGTGGCTGCTGACGAGGGTCTTGTGCAGGAGCAAGAGGTTGTTCGAGGCTGAAGAGGTCTGTGTGCAGATGCTTGGGCACCTGTCGGAGGGGAAAGTGCGGAGCGAATGCTTGATCCTTGCTCAGTCTGAGCTGGCGTGGATCCTTGCGAACCAGAGGAGGTACGAGGAGAGTCTGGAGTGCTGCATCAGAAGCCTGGAGCTGCTGAGGGAGGTTGACCGCGGAAACTTCTTCTTCCTCTTCCAGCAGGTCCGTGTCCTTTCCTTCGTCGGCTTCCTCAAGGAGAATCTCGGCGACACTGCAGCTGCGATCCGATGGTACCGGGAGGCCATCAGCCTGAGGGAGTCCACCAAGATCCCTCCCTTCCTCCTCGGCAAGCTCTACCTCTGCATCGCCGGGGTCTATGCTCGCGCTGGCCTGCGATCGGAGGCGCGTGAGAGCTTTCACCTCGCGCTAGACACCTTCATCGCAGCCCTCGGCCGCCAGCACCTCTACATCGCCGAGCTGAAGAACCTGCTGGGGTCTCACTTTGCGGAGATGGGGAAGTATGAAAGGGCCCAGGGGTGGTACGAGGAGTCGCTTCTCATCTACCTCATATGGAGGCCGGGCGACCTTGCCCTGTCGGCTCAGTACCGCAAGATGGCGGAGGTGCTAAAGAAGCAGAACAAGCTTGACCTGGCCCTGAGATATTACAAGATGTACAACGAAATCCGCATGCGAGTGCTGGGCAAGCGGCACTGCGCGATGGGGCTGTTCAGCGTCGGGCAGATCTACATGCTGCTCGGCGACCTCGAGGCTGCTCTGAGGCACTTCGTGCAGGCGATAGAGTGTCACTCGCAGGCAGCGAGCAAGGGAGTGATCAAGGGAGAGCTCCTTGATGTAGCCGCCGCCTTCTACGAGATGGCGACCATCTACGAGCACAAGGGTCAGTACGACAAGGCATGGGAGCTGTCGCAGCGAGCCGCCGACCGGCAGTGCGGCAGGGCGAAGGGGGGGAGGGCTCAGTCTGCGGCAGGACAGGACGTGGTGGAGAACAAGATACGGGCGCTGCAGGAGAGGCTGAAGTCGAGGAACTCCGTGTGGGTGAAGCTGCTTCATGGCCTCAAAGACTGGGACCCGCTGTGGGTCCCCGACGATGCAGCGGCGGCATGCAAGGTGTGCTCTGCTGAGTTCGGCTTCATCAGGAGGCGGCATCACTGCAGGATGTGCGGGAACGTGGTCTGCAACAGCTGCTCGGGTCACCGGCCGAGGGGGAAGAGGGTCTGCTCGCAGTGCTACGAGGATGGTGGAGGAATCTACCTCTCCCTGAGCCAGGGGATCAACGAGAAGCCTCAGGCTGCCTCGTTGCAGGAGGCTGCCAGTGCCGCGCCTTGCTGCTCAGAGAGAGACCAAGGATACCTGGTTCCTGACTTCACGGCGGAGAACCACAGCACCTACTGACGGTGACTGGCCCAGTGGATCGGAACTGCCGTGAGTCACTGAGTGTCACGCCGTGGCAGCGCTGGCTAGTAAAACTTGAGAGTCAAGGTAACTGAGTCGGACTTGAATGAACTGAGCATCTTGACTCCCTGACGGCCCGGTCCCCCCCCCTCCCCCTCTCCCGGAGCTGAGCAGTGCCCGGCCGCAGTGCCGCTGGGCCCGGGGGCAGTGCCATTGGACAGTGATCGGACACCGTTCACTGAAGTGACTGGGGACCGGCCGGGACGGTGGACTCCCGGCCCCGGGATGGCCGCATCAGCCTAACGAGTCTGAGGCGGGCCAGTACCTAGAAGGCAGCAACAAGACTCGATCGCCTCTCGTCCTAGCATACATTCCCCTCCTACTGCCCTTCCGTCGGCGCCATGGCAGCGGCGGGTGAGATGAGGTGAGAAGCTGTTGGAGACGAGAGGGAGGATGATCAGCGACGTTCTGGATCAGACAGTCGTCTCTCAGACTTGGAATCGTCATGGTTGAAGCTGTCTTGTCTGAGTTATCCGGCCTGTATCTTGCCAATGGACTTTGACGGCCCGATCCTCTTCCTTTCCTGTCCCTTCCCGCCCTTGCTGATTGTTTGTGGCTATGCTCGGATAATCACTGATGAAAACTGTCATGATATGCATCTGTGCTAGTCTCCCAGACTTTCCATCTGAGCTGACATGAGGCGCAACAGCAGCAAAAGAATTTCTTTTGCCATCGGAGAGAAGCTTATGAGGGGGTGGACGCTTGCGGTCAGTGGCTGTTCTAACTTGCTCTCTGCTGATGAGCATCCTGACGGCAACATTTGCTAACAGTCTGAATCTTGTCCCAAGTGCATTCATGCGCCGCTCATCAAGAACAGGTGATGACTGAGTACTCGTAACAAATAATGCAAGAGAATTGGCTGGAGACAGTCAGCATCTGCTTTCATTGCTCGTTGCTCACCGCAAACTTCAGTCTTGGAGAACTTTACTGCGTCAACTGTGAGACTGAAATCAGCAAAGAGTTTCCCATCACGTCGCAATCCATCAACAATGGTGAATCACAAACCCCAAGAAGGCTCATCCGAACTCCTTGACATGTACCAAAAAGGGAAAGTGGCGCCAAGGTCCCTCATCCAAGAGTTCGGTTACACATCGAGGTTCTGCATCTTTCAACCCTCTTGCAACAAAAGCTCAACCTCTGAAACTTCTCCCTTTCATTTCTCCGTCTTCGCATGCCTGCCCGCCTTTTCCTGTCAGAGGTGATCCCCTTTTATCATGCCTGGTTCACGAATGACGTGAGGAAGGGGTTGCAGGAGGACCCGCTCCTTCCGCAGGCTCTTCATTCTCCCCGATGCCGGTCAGTCCCTCATGAGTTTTCTTCGCCGTGTCGCGCTGTCAGACTTTGACTTGCTCGAAGAATCGCCTTGCAGACCCGACCAAGGCAAGCTCGGCCATCGCGCAGAAACTCTTGCAAGGTTCTCCTCCAGCTCGTTTCTCTCTCCTCCTCCTCCTCCTCCATTCCGTCTCCGTTCTCAACCTCCTCGTTCTCCACATCCTCCCATCCTTCACCTGCTGTTTCCCCAAACCCTCGTCGCCACATTGCTTCATGGTGGTCTCACGCCTGATGTCAGGATGGACTCTGCTGGGTGAAACTTGTCCTGTCGAAGGGTGCCTCGTGCCCCTCATGCTCGACCCCAAGACAGCAGTGAAGGTGTAAGCCCATCCTGTTGTTTTGTCTGCTTCCCGACTCCATCTCCTCATTTCTTTTCTCATGTTGAATCCCCAGCATTGCGTCAACTCTGAAGTTTGCGGATATTGCGATGAGCAGTTTGGCCCCCCCCTCTCCTTCCAGGTGTGTCAAGGCTGAGATAGATCTGATAGGATAATGTATTGAAGGATGGTCGGGATTCTGACGAGAAAATCTAGTCAAAGTCTTGACGAAAGACTGACTTTGTTCATTCAGCAGCGCAAGGAGTTGGAAGATAAGTTGGAAGGTTGCCGACAAGGCAAGAGGGATCTGCTGACTTTGACGTGCAATGGCAGATGGGAAGTTGAACGAGTCCGAACTTGGAAAGTCTTTGAAGTTTTCCAACGAGGAGAACGGAAGGTAAAGAACAAGGAGATGAAAGATCTCTCATCTCCTTCCGCAGGCTTTCCCCTCCCAAGGCTTCAGACCATGCTCGATCGCCATCATCCAGATCGCCAACGAGAGGAGCGATTCTCTTTCGCTCTACCAACTCATCGGTGATTTCATGTTGTGGTGCCGTTTCTAGCTGCTACCTCTGTTCTATTCTTTGCTCTTTTTTCCTCATTGTATCCGATCTTCTCATCCTGTTGTGTCTCTTTTCCTCCTATCTTGAATTTCTCCTCCTCCTCCTCCTCCTCCTCCTCCTCCGAATTTTTGTTTCTCTCGTCGCCGCTAAGGTGTTTTCCTTGCAGAGCAAGAGTGCTCTCGATGAAAGCACCGTGTTGGTCGCAGCGAAGCGTGCGATCCTCAGCAAGATGTTCTCGTGCTCAGAGGTGCTTAGAGAGATTCTGCAGGACAATGGCAGGTTTAATCGGTTGTGCAGGCGCTGATCAGCTGCGGCGATGTCAACGAGTCGAAGGCCTTGATGTCTCTTCTCACCGAGTCTCTGCAGGCGCTGCAGGTGAATATAGAAATTCTCTCATCTGCTCATGTGCCTGTTATGTGGCTCTTCTTTCTCACTCTGTATCAAGGTTGCCAACTCTCTCAGTGTCTCTTCCTCGTCCAACGAAGAGAAGAGATGAGATGTTACTAACTGTTGGCGGATGTTCTGCACCCACCTGTTTGACAGGTTCTTCACTTAAACTACATCTGGTGCATTGACGTTGCCATCATGATTTTGAATAAATACTTTTGAGCTTACTCGTGTTTTGATATTAAAGCATACGCGCTACCTGAAAGAACCCGTTGTCGCGTCATAGTTTCGAAAGTGTTTGTCTCGCATACATCTCTTCCGAAAAATCTTACAGAGGATTTATATACTTTGTGACAGATCACCAGGCTCACACCAATAGTCGTTATGTATGAACATGTTTATATACAAGAATCTACATCAAATGCTAAAATCGAACATAGAAAAATCAGGTTTTGTCTCAGGTGGTGAAGCAGGTTTTGGAGAAGCGGCCTCGACAGGCCTTGACGTCGGGACCTCCATAGGTTTGGACGCCGCAATCTCCATGGGTCTTGAAGCCGCAACCTCCGCCGGCTTTGAATCTCGAGTTTCAGTCTGAACGCTCTTGGCCTTTTCAACTGACTTGTTGGCACCACGGGCGCTAACAGCTGGTGCTGCTGGAAGTTCGGGAGGATGTGCTGACTCAACGGAAAGTTTTCTGAAAGAGTTCTGCATCTTGAGTGGCATAGTCGGCTTCGCACGGTCCTTCATACCACACATGCACATACCCAGTACAGCACAGGTTCCTCGCATGCACTTGACAGGCTCTGACGTTATGGCATTTGATGAGTATGAATTGAGTTCGTCTTGGGGCGCTAGCAACATGATGTCGCCTTTACCACGGACCGCTTGCATAGGAGCAGGAGGATGAGGGAGGGAAAGCAAGGAACGGAGATGCAGGGAAGAGCAGGTGAGCAGCGGAAGGAACTTGAGGGAATACGCGAGAGGAGAGCTGTTCCTTCTTCGGGGTCTTCCTCCTCTTGTAAGGGGCCAGTAATAACCTGAAAGTGCTCTAATAATCAAAATATTCTTAGATAAGTCGAAACAAACCAATCCTGGTACACCAATAGCTTCAATATCCGCTGATAAGCTGAACTTCACAAGCTAAAATCATTTGTAAGGCCCCAGGTATCCGGGGAATATCATTTCAGAAAACAGATCTTTTCGAAGATTATCACGAGGGTCTCGGATTGTTACACCGACTGATACCCCATTGCCTCGTGACTACTATGACAGCCCGTGTGCTTGCACCAGGGATTCATGTAGTAAATATGAGCTAATTATACTCCACAGTCACACATGCGTTGGCCTCCAAAAGGATCACTGATACCACCCCCACCCTCACTATAGATATGTTGTCAGGGTCCTCAAGTGACCTCGGTCAGCTTTGGGGGTTGCACGGGGGTATCGAGCTCAAAAGGAGGCGGAACTGATTATTTTATGGCCTCGTACTGATTTTTAACTTAACTTTATTTTATGGATGGCTGTCGCCGTTTCGACCGTCCGACGGTCACAAAGTTTCACAATTTATTATACAATCTAATGCCTAAATTTTCAAAAGGTAAGACTCCATTTAGTTGGATAGCGTGATGGTTGAGGGCGAGACTTCAAATTACCCGTCACATCCAGTCGCAGGTTTCGTCTAGAATATTCCGGAAGGCACACAGATAGATTTGAAAACTTGGAGGAGCTTTTCCACGGATTTTGGGACAGGTTGAAACAACGGTATATATATTATTAGCAGCCTCCGTCAGTAACCGTGCTAGGCCGCGTCCGTGGTCTAGGGGTATGATGGAAGCCTCCCATGCTTTCGACCCGGGTTCGAGTCCCGGCGGACGCACGTTAGGGAAGCACGGAAACTTTTTGTTGCCCAGGAATGGTTGTACTGTTCATGTCCTCATGAACCTGTTGATAGCACTTCAAGCTGCGGGAGCATTCTTGCTGTCTTTCTCCTTCGATCTTGCTTCTTTCATGTAGACGGGAATCTCTTTTTGTTTTCTCTTCTCCTTTTGCAGTCAAAGGATGGATTGGGAAAACGCACCTGAAATCGTCCAGTGGCTCAGATTTCCTGCTACAGCATCGGTCATCGGGACCTGCTGTACAATCTGGTACCTCATTTGGAGGAATCGCCTCGATTATGTTGATCTAGGAAGTAGCTACAGGTTTGTTGTTATCGAGAAACAATGGTGGAGGACGCTCAGCGCTTCTCTGTCTCATATAAACCTTGTTCACCTTGGGTTCAACATGTTCTCAACCTGGCAGTTGAGACATGCAGAGCAAATACTAGGATCTCTGGAATATCTGCGATTTACCTTGGTATTCCTTTTGCTCTCAGTGATTTTTCAGAATGCAATTCATCATGTGCTGCTTCGTACACCATCTGCTGAGTACACTCTTAACACGGTTGGTGTTGGTTTCTCTTGTGTTGTCTTTGCTTGGATGACCTGGATGAGTTTGCTTACAAGTGGGCAATCTTTGGATTTCTTGTTCTTCAGGGTTCCGTACAATATGTCTCCTTTCGCTTCTCTTATCTTCACTCAATTGATGATCCCACGAGTCGACTTCATCGGTCACCTGTCTGGCATCATAGCGGGTTATTGGCAGGGGTGGGGCCTCAATGCGTGGCTGGATGGCTACTGGACGGTTCAGATTCTTGTTCTCTATTTTGTCGGATGTGTTTGCTCTTTGCATTGGTCTGGAAAAGAGGTACATCATGATCCATTGGCGATTTGTTTTGGTGGTTCCTAACACCAACGCAGATTCCTTTCGTCAGGGTGTCATCTGAGATGATGAGCTCGCGGCCTGGTGGAATGCAAGTTGTGTAAATCGTTTGATGCCTCGGAAAATAGCACAATTCCTTGTTGATAATTGTACAACATTCAGAAGCTTTTATATTCTACAACCCATTGAGTGTCACGGAGGATGTGGTTCGCTTTCCGACCACATTCGTCTCTTCCTCAAGCTCGACGCTTCTTCGCCTGTGCAGGGAGAGAACTCCTATCATTGCTCGTCAGTTGATAGTAACGAGTGCTCTACTCTTCACTCCACCTGGCTGAGGAGGAGCTCTTCGGAGCGTCGCAGAAAGCAACTTTGCGTTTCTGGGAAGCAATCTCCTCGACTTTGGTCTCGACGTTGTCCTGTGGTAGGAAAACATCTGGATGATGAAAGCATGAGAGAACGGAGTAATCCACTTCAATGCACAACGTTGACCCAGGCGCTGACGTCGAACAGCGGGGACCATCTGGACGGGTGTGAGAGGAGGAGGTAGATAGGGAGGAGGAGGAGGAGGAGGAGGAGCAAGCGCTGCAGCAACAGCAGGAAGAGCATGAGGAGTAGAAAGAGCAGAAGGAGGTGAAAGGTGAGGGGGAGAAGGAGGGGGAGGGGGAGGAGGAAGAGGAGGTAGATAGGGAGGAGGAGGAGGAGGAGGAGGAGGAGGAGGAGGAGGAGGTAGATAGGGAGGAGGAGGAGGAGGAGGAGGAGGAGGAGGGACAAGGGGAAGCTGTTCACATGATCCTCCGAAGAAGCTTTGTCTTGAGCTTGTCGACAGCTCTTTCCCCCTGCACTTCCAAGCTCTCTTCTCTCGCAAACCTGTGATCAAGCTGGTTCAAAGACAGTGCTCCTTAGAATTCTGCAAGAATGAAGGAAGACTGAGCAGAAAGTAGAAGGGGGAAGAGAGACGACAAGGATGAGGACGAGGAGGGGAGAGAGGGAGAGGGTGACGACTAGCGAGGACGAGGAAGACAGAGAGGAAGATGGCCGACCTTAAAGTATTCGTCGTGGTCTCGGACGATGAGCTCCTGCAGTCGAAGGGCTCTGAGCATGCTCAACATCACCCGACCGATGGGCTTCGTGGATAGAAGGTGGAGGATGGGTATCCCAGCGAAAAGCGTGTCTGCTCCAGCCGCACCAGAGTTGTTGTTGGGCGTGTCCTGCTGGAAGGGTCAGGAGGAGGAGGAGGAGAAGGAGGAAAAGAAGGAGGAGGAGGAGGAGAAGAAGAAGAAGAAGGAGAAGGAGAAGGAGAAGGAGAAGGAGAAGGAGGAGGTCAGGTTGACCTCGCTGTTGTCCATTTGACGGAAGAGCGTCAGGCTAGCCCGGCAAGACAATCCCCGCCACCCCCCCCTGGAGAATCGCCCATAACTGACCCACTGTCGCCATTCAGCAGGCGAGTTTCCGAGGGATCCGATCCCAACAGAGTTGCAAACAGAACACTGCTTGTAGGCAGCTCAGCTGTTCCATTTAAGGTCTCCTTCATCAGGTTGCCCAACCTGGACATGCCTCGACTCATGAAGTCGGAGACCACACCTGTGGATTGCTCACTGGATGCATGTTTTCTCGAACAACTTCTTTCACAACAACCTCGAAAGGAGGTCCAGACCTTCGCGCACCAAAATTTTGGGGTAACTCCTGACAAGTGCCTCTCGAGAAGCGTGTTGACGTGTGAAGTGATTCCTTCAAGAAAACAATGAGCGAACGTGCGAAACTATGCACAATTCTAGCTATAAGTTTATTCGAATTATGAAGTTAGAAATAGAAAAATAAGTTATCTAAAACCATAAGAAACGCATCCGTCGAGGATAAAGATCCAGGAAAAACAAAAGTCAGTTATCATATCCTATCACTGTACCTAATCGCTAGCCTTGTGTGCGATTCTGAGTCCTAAAAATGTTGGAAAAGAACTTAAACGAAGAGGCCACAGGGCCACTCAGGAATCTCTTCTCCATTACGCTTTTACGCAGTCCTTTCAGTCTCCCAGAGTCAGAGAAGACCATGGTATTCGTCTGTTGCTCACCAATGATATGTCAGCTTGAACCCACTCTGTCATGCCAGAATGTTTTCACCTGCCGAAAGTTGTCGATGTAATCTTGAGCCTTGCAATGGGAATTGACCGCGACGGTAAACTTGTAGACGTCCTCGAGGGAGACATTGTCTTTATCAACGACGCAGCTGACTTCCTTCACCTTGAATGTCTCAGTCACTCCATCTCATCGTCACAAGTATACAAGCTGAGCCTTACCTGGTTCGTGGCAAGATCCACATATCTTACGCTCAGAACGCGAAGTCGGCCATCACAGACAATTTCGCCGCGGTTTGCCCCATTCACGATTTTCTTGATGATCCTCGCTTCTATGGATGCCCCACTCAGCTGCTCGCTGCTGAACTGGAAGATCATTTGCCCGTGATAGAAGCACCAGTCACAGCAGCCTGTGCTTCCATGACCGCTGGTTGAGCTGGTGATGCCGCTGGTTGAGCTGCTGCTACCTCTGTAGCAGCAGCAGCAGCAGCATGATGAGCAGCAGCAGCGTTTGTCGAACTCCACCTTTCTCGATACCTTGAGGTGATCTGAGCGCTCACACTTGACTCCACCGGGAGTGAGGTAGCTGATCGGGATGAAAGTGATCTTGTCCTCAGCCTCCCTCACTCCCACATGCGAGTAGCTTCCCGAGTAAAATCTGCAGCATTCGAAGCAACCGCACCAACCCATGGGGCACCAGCAGGAGGTAGATCCGTGAACGCTCTCATTGGCGGAGGCCTCATACCTGTTTTGATGCCAGTAAAAGTACAAGTTTTTGTCGGTCAACACGACATTTCCATTGCCAGCGAGCTCTTCATTCGTGTTGGGAAAGCCAATGAAGCCAACAGTTTTCAATTCTGCAAGGAACGATTCGTTGGGAGGAATAATCTTCTTGAGGAAAGCATGATCCTGACTTGAGAGTTTCTCGTAGACACCCTGCGTTGTCTCTTGAGTAGACATTACTCGCTCCACTCTTTCTGCTGGATAATCTTCCGGAAACTGATTCGTTACTTTAACCCTGGAACCACCCTTACCGGCAATGTGCTCCACAAAGGCTCTGTTGATAGCTCCGCCATCGTCGAAGACTTTATTTGGGAGGTCAAGAAGAAGGGCAACTTGCATGTCCTGCAAAGTTATTACAACGTCGTAGTACACCTTCCATGCATATGAAAGTACTTCAGGCTTGTAACATGACGCGAAGGCGTCGTGCTTCAGCTCCTTCGCCACTCTTTTTTGAATGATTGGAAGTTTTCTTTTGTCGTACACCAAGTCTCCAGAAAGCATGTCATGCGAAGTTTTGCTTGTCTGTCGAGGGGGAATCGTCTGATTCTCTGTAGCGGGCATCTGTTCCTTACCGACTGGCTCTTGCAATATGGTTTTTCTTCCTTGCTCGTTCGAATGCGCCTCTGCTTGCTGGGAACTCTTCACTACATAGCAGACAGGGGTGGGTAGGTTCTGCCAATGTCATAATAAAGTAATGGGGTGGTATTGAATTTGGTGGGGTAGGGGTCTAGATAAAGGACTCTGCAAAGGGATATTATACTGAGTTGGATATGTACCTCCATGGATTGAAGGTATGATTTTACAGGGGTAGTTCTAAATTTATTAAGGGGTAGGGGTGGGATCCGCAGGGTTTGGCAGAAAGTTATGGGTATTATGGGTAGGAGGTTTCTTCCGGATCATATTATTATGTATCCGATTTTCGGGTTGTACCAGAATTTATGAAAGTTTATAGTTCGCAATAAATTTCCCATAAAATTTGCGCAATGGCTTCAGAAGAGGATGAAAGACGGTGCTGTGAGCGATTCTGAGTAGATGAGAGCATTCTTTTCCTCTTTACATCATAGCTAGCCATATGACAATGGATGTATGATGTACACAATGATCTTGAACTACAATCTCACGATTCAAATCTCATCAATATATTGCCACATCGCAAGGAAAGAGACAACCTCAACTCCTTAGTCCACCATCACCTTCGTTCTTCATTCCTACACGTCCATTACCACTCACTTTTTCTGTGGAATATCGGCACTTGCGTACGTCATATGTTTTGCTATAAAATCTGTCACTGTAATCATCTCATTCGTCTAACTACTGGTTCTCAACGATGCAATCCGTCTTGTTCTCTGCACCAGGTCGCTACAGACTGCCAGGTCCGTCGTTGCCTCCCTTCTTTCCTCGGTAGTTTCAAGCATTCCACGCACTGCTTGAAGATTTCCTTGGTTTCCTCCATGGTTGCGTTCTCCTTATACACTCCTTTCTCCTGTGCACATTGGTCTATTTTGCCCATCAGATACCTGAAGTCACTCAAACGTTTCCTTGCATTCTGGTCGGCAAAATCACTCGGTTCCAGGTTTTTGAATGGTGGATACCCTTTTTCTGCATTTCCTTGCATCCACCACTCGTAAGCCACATCAACGAACATCTTTGGCCATAAAAAATCTTCTGGCAGAAGGCGAATGCGTCGACCCCAGTTGTATCCGTTCACCTGCAATGCTCCACTCTGCTCAACTTGTGCAGGCTGTCTTGGACTGCTTTGACAGTCTGCCCTCCCATTCACCTGTCTCATCAGGACCTCTAACATATCCTCCATATGACGAAATCGAGTTGTCATCTCTTCCACTTTTTGAAGCACAATTGGCATCATCATCCCTCCGCCGATATTTCCAACACAGTGACTCTGCTCCATGTTGCCATTGTTCACTGAGTTTGATGCCATCAGACTGATGTCTGTTTGCGTATCACGCGTTTCTACCTCCTTCCTGCTAGCTTCAAGCCCTTTCATGCCTCTGAGGATTGTTACATGCGCTGGAATGCCTGTACACCGTCTGCCATCGCCCTCGATTGTCACCATTTTCTTCATTCGTTGAAGAATTCCTTGTTGCGTGAACAGGCAAGTAGCCAACAAAGCATGTTCCTTCGGGAGTGTCTTCATCAAAAATTCAGAATGATACACAACAGAAGCCACAGCGTATTCTGCAACAAGATACAGTTTGGTTGTAATTCCAGGGAACATCTCTGAGATGTAAGACGATACAAATGCTCTTTCATCCCCATCAGACCAGCGAAAGTAGGGGGGCAACGTGGCAAACTCTGCCTTGTCCAGGGGCAGGCCCGTCGCTGTCCTTCCCACATACTGGTCGCCTATCGCGCGGTCAAGTCGTTGCCCTTCCATGTCACCTCAGAGAAGAGAATTACCTGCAGCCTCAAGTCTCATGTATGTGTCTTGCACAGGTCCCATCTTCCAGCCAATTCTGCGCTACGGCTCAGAATCCAGTGATGGATATTGTTTGTCACCTATTACTCAGAGGAACATATCTTGGACCATCTGGACTTCCACCGGAACAATAAGTAGCGGATCCTTTGCACAACATCAGTCATTGGATCCGAGTGGATACCAAACCATGTACAGTACCTTTTCTTACACTGTGTGACCCGATATTTTGTATGTCTATTCCCAGGAATTTGAAGGCATCTTTCAGATTTTCGTTGTTGCGGAACCTGGTGATGATTTTGCTGAAACGGTCGAACTGATTATTGCCCGGGAATAGCTTTCCATGTCCATTATCGTTCATTCCAAAGCAACACCAGTAAATGCCTGCGTTCACCGGAAGTAATATCAATTCTTAGCGATGTGTACAAACAAATCTTCACTTACCAAGGGCCAGCAAGGGGCAGATGTCTGGATTTAAAGGATTGGCGTAGATGTGTTTCCCATCCCGTGGTCGATCTCCTTCCTGATCATTCTTTTGATGAATGATGTAAATTTTGAGCGCATCCTCGAAGAATTCCATATGGTTGTACAGGATTTTGATTCCATTGTTTGCTCTGCAAATGAGATTCCAGCATATGATGAGCATAGTCCTGAAAAAAATCCATTCTGTGCCTGTTTGCTTCAAACTGAAATTCCCTAACATTTTGTATCCTTCGAATGATAATGGGTCCTTCCCACTACTCACTTTAACATCTTTCGTCTCCGATGCACCCTTAGCAACTGTTCGTTTCACGCCTTTGAAATCCTTCTTCAACGAATTGCTAAGTTCGGAAGGCATTTCGAATCCGTAGTGACGATAAAGATCAAACAGACCAGATCTGTGTCCTGACAAAGTGCTAAATGCATACGCACCATTCTCAGAGTTTCCACCCGCTTCGCGTTGACTTCTCAAATGCTCAAGCCATGTAATGAAAGCTGTGGATGTAAATCTACACTTTGGATCGGTTGATTCCTTATTTTCAAAGTCGATGGGTTTGATTTCACGACGCGTTAGGATATCATGCAGCAGATCTTTATCGGGAACGTAGTGCAAGTTCATGATATTCTGTCTTTCCATGAGCTCCCTGAACTCCTTGGTGAGAACTTCTTTTCTGTTGACATAGAGCCATTGCAAAAGACGTATCATGGAGCTGGTATACATCTTCCTGCTCTTCTTCGATATCGTATTCTCGCGGATAGCTTCCACTGATGCTTCGAGCGCTGCTTCGTCTTGTACGCGTAAGTTGTCCCACAGAGCAGACTCAGCTTCTGTAGAAGAACGTTTTCTCTTTGGTCGTGCATTGTTGGGTCTTGCAGCAGCAGTGGGATTTTGAAACATCGAGCTTGGTCCCTCCATCCCATCATCTAATTGTGACGTGCAAGATGACACTGACATGCCATCTCCTTCCGATTCGTCAATTGCTATCGCTGACTGCACATCATCGCTGGGAGGAGGCGGCGATTGACAACCACAAAATCCAGGATCCTCACTTCGAAAACTGGCACATACTGCATGAAAGTTGCCACCACATTTCCGGCACTTATGTCCAGTCCCAGTCGCAGGGTTGCATGGAGCTCCCTGTATTCGACATTCGCGTCCAAACAGGCATTCTCCGCTAGTTTCCGCCATTTCGTACTTTTTGTTGTACCGGGATCAAAGACTTTTGGCCGTACAATATTGGTACAAAATAAAAACATAAAAGATTTGTTATCAAATAGATATCGACCAGAATTCACTCAAAAACTATTTATTGGTACTAATATTGGGTACTATAGTTGAAGCGGACATCGGTCCATATCAAATCTCAAAGTAAATACACCCGATGCAATGTATATTTTGTACCCCATCATTTGTACTCTCCTGAACTTGACCGGTACTCTGTTAGATCTCTCAAATAAATTTTGAACTTCTGACTCATCCGGATTAATATCCCCGTCTGACAATAAACTATTATAAGACCTACAATAAAAATCCGGATGGTTACTGAGAATTATTTATGACATCTAGATGTTCGTCCGTATGCTGGATGTCAAATGATAATACACCACCTCGAATCCTTCTTCTCATCAGAACAAAACGCATGAAATGATCGTGACTGCTTTATGAGTTGATGCTCGGGAAGGAGTCTCACATTTCCTCCAACCCAACTCTCTGTTGAACACCTGTCCAAACTGGGAATGCACTGTGTCGCGTGTCCCTTCAAAGGATACTGATCTCATAAAGGATACTGATCTCAAATCTGAGTCTCTTCTACCAAGGAGAACCTGTGTCCTTCCTACACAATTGTGACCATTTTTCCTTCTTTTTGGATCCTTCATCATCTACTCCTCAAGAGTCCTCCTTCATGGGCATTCATCACCAACTTGTTAGCTTCCTGTCCCTCAAAGCCTCTGCTGATCAATCTAAAATCTCAAACCTGAAATTTTTCTTTCGACCTACTTATCTGGATTCCAAGGATTTGTGTAGCGTTGCAAACGAAGGAAAGGTTGAGTTGCCTGAATTCTGAGATTTGAAAATGGATCCCTCGTGGTTGCTGCCAACAAATGCTGCATCCTGCACTTTTGTTCAAAAGGATGACAGGAAAAACAGGGAAAACAGGAAAAGCATTAAGTTAAGATGTCACCTGGCGCAATAACATACACAGAACTTGAAGTACAACACAAAAGCACTGCTGCTTACAAACTGCACCAATCTTCAGTCAGTATAGATCAATGAAACCATCAGTCTCTACCAAGGAGTGCAAAACCTGAACCTGACCCATCTTCCTTGCCGCCGTCACATCCGGAGGAATGGCAAGCCTCGGAAAGATGGTTGCTGCGAAGAGTGTCATGCGATATTGCCTAACAAAACTTCATGCACATCACCTCAGATTGAGGCTCTAACAAAGGAGATCCATATGTCAAATTTTACGAAAATCATGGGTGGATTGAATATATACCTTCTCAAAATTTTAATCGATGGAGAAATGATTTCCCTATGTTATTTGCATTATTTGTCAGGAACAAACAGCATACTGTTTGAGAACAATTGCGATCTATCTTCCTTCCATCGCCACCAGCATGAGTTTTCGCTTAGGGTCAAAAGAGGAAGAAACGCAGTACTGTAGGCGATTTTTGATCTCAAAAATGGATTCTCAACTTTCGACTCATCCGGAATAAAATATCCTAATCTGACAATAAAATAAGACCTACAATTCTACTTGAAAATCCGGATGGTTTCTGAGAATTTGATATTTCTACTCGATCTCTTTGTTGGAACTGCTTCGCTGGCCCCAGGCCCATATTGATCGGGCCTCTAGATCATGTTCTGGCTACCCGGCGAGTCTCTGACACCAGTGAGCACCACATTCAGAAGCTTTTATATTCTACAACCCATTGAGTGTCACGGAGGATGTGGTTCACTTTCCGACCACATTCGTCTCTTCCTCAAGCTCGACGCTTCTTCGCCTGTGCAGGGAGAGAACTCCTATCATTGCTCGTCAGTTGATAGTAACGAGTGCTCTACTCTTCACTCCACCTGGCTGAGGAGCTCTTCGGAGCGTCGCAGAAAGCAACTTTGCGTTTCTGGGAAGCAATCTCCTCAACTCTGGTCTCGACGTTGTCCTGAGGTAGGAAAACATCTGGATGATGAAAGCATGAGAGAACGGAGTAATCCACTTCAGTGCACAACACCTTTCCATCTGTCGATACTCTTCTGAGTTTCCTCTGTATTTTCACCCAATATTTGAAGGTTTTCAGCCATGTTTCCAATCTGGACTCAAATGTCATCTAGGAATAGAGCGAGCAAGTGTACAGGAACAGGCAGTACACCTACGGACTTACCACTGTTGCTGCATGGACTAGCACTTTGGTGCATGCTTGAATCTTTTCAGCCTCCTCCACTAACTCAGCGACCCTCTGCTTGTGCGACATTTTTGCTTTTGGTCAGCTGGCTTGGCCTCTCAAAGTCTCTTTGAAGTTTCTTGTCGAGCCAAAGGGGAATTGAGATGTGCCTTACCAACAAGAATACGTTAAGTACAGATCAAAATGTAAGCTCTTTCGCGTCCTGCAAAATATGGCGTTATTTCCAGCTCAAACATAAATTTTCACTCTGCATCTTGAGGTTATTTCTCTTGAAATACATGTACAAGAAAGAAAGGCGATGGGATACAAGAACGACAGGCGATGGGATCAACAATCAGGCTAATCGGCTCTTTCAGCTGCTGTTGCGCGTTTTTTGACTGAAGTCGATGAATGAACGGAAAGTTCAGGATGTAGCTTGTCACTCTATACCGTCTATCCTTTTTACTTGAACCTCTAGTTCCTCAGAGCCTTGAGTTCTTCTGTCTCTGTCTCTGTCTTTGTCCTGCTGCTGTCTAATGGTACGTGCCATGGTCTTAGTCTCATTGCGCCTCCTGAACCGTCCTCCCACGCCTTCGCCATTTCAAATTTCAAACGACCAGCATTGATGAACGCTGTTGAGTTGAAATTGTTGATGAAATTTTCAAAATCCACTTATGTCATTTTGATTTCCTTTTTTTGGAGCACCACCCCCAAAACCTAGGCCGAAGGGTAAAGCGACTACCCCACCCTACCGATCTCCCTAAGTCTCTTTTTCGTACCCACCCCAGTCCCATACAAGCCTCTACCCACCCTATGACTCTAACACGCATAGACGAATTCGTTTGCCTCCTAGAGCTCGAGAAGGACCACCCCCTTCGGATCTCTTAGTAGACTACCCCCTTTTTGACATGCAAACGTTGGGTGGAAAGATTGACACTGACCACCCCCCTCGTACTCATAAAGCACCCCGATCCCGATACGTTCAGACGTGATGATGGCGTAGAAGAGATGCAAGGCGCACGATGAAACAGAGGGGAGGAGGAGGAGGAGGGCATGCATGAAGCATTTTCAGAGTGACGTAGATGTGCGAGAAAGTTGAACATGTGAGAGAAAGGGAGGATGTGCGTGTTTGGGGGATTTGTTTTGCTTTCGATCTTGATGTACTACGTATGACTAACTGTTTTCTTGATTATAGATATACCTCAGCACGATGAAGCTCGCATTGGCCTTGTCGCTGGTTTTAATGATCTCTCCTGCTACTTCTTTCCTCACCTACACCGATCCCCGTGCATCGATCTTTTCCACTGTGCGAGAGCGGGCAGTGAGTGTCTTGAAGCTCTCCATGCAGAGGATCGGATCCCGTAATAGCATGGAAGCGAACAGACCTTCTGGAAGTCGAACTTTGCAGCGAGAAGAGTTTGCTCTAGATACCCCCAAGTCGAAGTTTTATCTTAACCCCTTTCCCCTCAAGCCATACAACACTGAGAGGAAGACAATAGCGAAGAAGGTGGATGACAACATCTACACCTTCGAGCAGGAGCACGGCTTTGCCAACGTTTCTGTCAACATCAGGATGACTGTAGTCAGGCTCAACGACGGAGGGCTCTGGGTGCATGCCCCCGTAGCCCCGACTGAGGAATGTGTAGCCATGGTGAAGAAGCTGGGAGAGGTGAAGTACGTCATCCTCCCCACCACGGGCCTCGAGCACAAGATCTTCATGAAGCCCTTCATGAGCTACTTCCCCAACGCCAAGGCCTACGTCGCCCCCGGGCAGTGGAGCTGGCCCATCGACCTTCCCCTCGGGTTCAAGGTGTGCTAGCGAGCCCTTACCTCTTGTTCCTTACGTTGGCCAGGTGGAGGGTGTGCTGCAAGACATGGACCCCAACGTTCCCTGGTCGAAGGAGATCGAGCAGAAGGTGGTGTATGCTGAGGTTGGCATCGGGAAGACCAGCGAGGTCGCCTTCTTCCACAAGAAGTCGTCGACGCTCTTCGTCACTGACGCGGTCATCTTCATCCCCCCCGAGGCCCCCGAGGTCTTGAAGGCCTACCGGGAGGAGGAGAACAAGTGGAAGAAGTCAGCTCTCATGTCCTGCTTCCTCGGTCCCCCCTACGTCCCCTCCTTCGACGTGATAGCAGGGAAGCTCTTCGTCAGCCCGGTGGTGAGAACTTTCATCTATGAGCGGACGCCGGACGAGACCAGGGACTGGATCCAGCGCATCTGCCAGTGGAGGTTCAGGAAGATCATCCCGGCACATCTCGACGCTCCTGTCGCTGCTGGACCGGCAGACCTCAAGGAGGCGTTCAAGTTCCTCGACGTACCCACGTCGAATCCCCTCCCCGACGGCGACATGGGCCCACTTAACGCCATCAGCAAGCTCCTCACCCTCTCCCGGCTCGTCCCGGCTCGAGCGGCTGATCTCCTGTGAGAGCTGGAGGATAGTGAACTAACTGAGTTATTAAACCAACATGTCGTGAAGAGATTCGCCCTCAGCATAGTCCAACGGACTGAATAGCGATAGTCGCATTAATCCGTGAGGTGGTTATCAGTCCTGCTCACTTGTGGGGTGAACACGCTGAATTTCACACAATCTGCCCAGAAACCTTCATGTGAGTTTGGACGAGTGTCGGTACGATGTCAATGTCTTATGTCAGAACGGAGTCATTGTCTATAAATCACAGCAGAGTAAGAAAGGGTTTATTGCTGGATTTTCTTTGAGGCCAAAAGGGCCAACCTTTCTGAAGCATTCTTCATATCACTGCCGGGACTCGCTCGACAAAATTTCAACCTCTTAAAGATTCACCATTGAATCGATCAGGTTCTGCCTACACCAGTAGCTTGTGGGCAAGAAAGAGAGAGTACAAGGGCACGAAACGCCCTGCCGCCTCCCATCGTTACGTTCTCACGAATTTCATCTTCAAGGGGCATCGTGACCCTCTAGTTATGATCATCAGCTCATACTCGAAGGAAGCCCATGTTCCCTCCAGGCTTCCATGTGTAACTTTCTGAAAGAGTCTGCTCTAGTGCCCCTCTGGCGCTCCGGCGTCGTTGGCCGCAATGATCTGCTGACACCGACACGTCAGTTCCACACGTGGGCGGCATGGCAGCATGACTTACCTGGTTGCCGAAAGTCATCTGAGTGTATCTTCTGGACGACGGCTTTGCACCCACGTTGGGCTGCGGTGCCACAACAGAGGGGGTGAAGGGCATCGCCCCTGTTGGTAAGGAGCCAGCCAATTGGTTCGCCATTTGAGGGGGAAGCTGCAGGAGTGAGATAAGCAAAACTTCACGAGATACAGACAAGGAGCTTACAGTCTGCTGTACAGTCTGCTGATACTGAAATTGCGTTATTGGCACTGCAGTAGGCTGTGCGGGTGCAGGAAAGAAGTATGCTCCCTGTGCTTGCCCGTCGGTACCCTGCATCACCATGTAATACTGCGGCTGGGCACCTAACAGGAGACTTAGGAAAGGACAACAGGAAAGACATTGAGATACCGGGAGATTGAAACTGTTGAGGCCATTGCTGTGCGTACTCGGGGGCCCATTGCTGCTGCTGCGGAGCTCCTGGTTGCATCTGCTGCATCTGTTGTTGCTGGTTCATGCTCATATTGCCACCGATTGCATTCGGAGTGAACTGAGGTGCCATAGCAAGGGAAGGTGACATTGCATTCATGTTGGCATTGTGTTGCTGTTGCGCCATCATCACTTGCTCGTTTCCACGAGCACGACGGCCACTTGGCCTGTTGACATTACGATCCGGCACAACAGCATTGTAATAGTCGTCCTCCTCGACTCGTCGCATGTCTGGTCGACCTTGCATGGGTTTGACACCACCGCGTCCGGATCCACGAAGATCTACAGTGACAGTCTGGTGTCCACCGCGACCTCTCCTGGCACCTCCTGCCTTGGCAGTGAGCGCAGGGAAGGGATCGTTGGGGTCATCGTCCTCGTCATCGTCATCGTGTTGAGATGGCTGCGGTCGAGCGGCGACATGCTTCTGCGGAACTCCTCTCTCGCGCGGTCGGCCCATCTCTCCACCTCTACCCATGGCGTTACCACGAATTGGTTCGTTCATTTCACGACCGCGGCCCCTTCCCATGCGAGGGGATCCGTTCTCGGGCGCTTTACTCAAGGTCCTCGGAGCTGTTCCTCGTCCCCCCGGCATGCCAACAGCTCCTCCTGCTTTGTTCCCTCGACCGCCTCGACCAAGGATAGGTTGCTCTCTAGGCTGCGGTTCCGGCCTGGGCATCATCCGTTCTCCACCACGCCCACCACGTCCGCCTCTACCCCTTCTGGCAACACTTCTCCTGCTTTCTGCCTCTTCCTCCTGTCAAGAAAGGTTCCAATCAAGACAGGATGAGAGAAAGACCGTACAATTAGATAAATTTGTGTAAATGTACGAGGGCTGGCTTACCTGGACGAGTTGTTCGAATTTATCATGGCCCCATTTCCCCTCGTTCTCGGACCACAACTTTTTGCGTGGCCTGGTTTCTTCACGAGGATCTTCGGCTGGACTGCCCTCGGTACGATCGTCATGGAGGAAAAATCGGCCTGATTTAGGAACTTCAAATGGTTCGAGCCTTTTGCCGTCGTCCCGCTAGAGAAAATCATCAGATATATATAAGGGAACACCACGAAAGGCGACAAGTGGAATACCTTTTCATGTTGCTCGGAGTCTTCGTCTTCGTCTTCTTTGTCCTCATCTCCCTCCTCTTCTTCGTCTCCCTCCTCTTCTTCGTCCTCTACTCCTTCATAATCACCCTCTTCTCCTTCTTCTTCTCCTTCACCGCCATCGCCATCTACTTGCAATGAGGGAGGCACAACGTACAAGACAATGGGCTCACCCTCATCATATTCGCCACCGTCTTCTTCCTCATTGCATTCTTCTGCTTCTTCACCTAACATCATTAGGCGATGATGCATCCCACAACGCTCTCAGAGACTCACCACTGTCATAGACCTCGACTTCTTCCTGCAGATTACACGCAAGCATCGTCAGAACAAGCGACTTCTAAGATCGAGAAACTCACCTGTTCGTTGTCACTTTGTTCTTCTTCGTCATCAGCTGACCTGTATAATAGATCTTAGATTCCTAAAGCTTCTTTCCTTGGTTTCTCTGCTACTAGTAGATCTACAGTTGTCTACATAAACCTCCATCAAGCATAAACAAACATCTTGTCGGAACTTTGCACATTCCATGACAGTTATCAAAGTTATTCAAAGAAGGACATGTGTCATGAGCGAGCAGAAATGTGATGCGCAGCAGCTCCCACAGAAGGATAGGTCACAACGAGGCAGAGGCATGGGCAAGTCGGAGAGCGAGCACTCTCACACATCATCAACAGCAAACAGAGCACTAGTAGACGGCATGGAAGAGAGATCATGTCCAACGAGGACGGACAGGAGGGGCCTGATCTCCCTACCTTCGAGCTCTCCGCATGCCCTTTGCCGGATCGTCGTTCGCCATGCTTCCTCGCCGCCGTCCCGCCAAAAGAAAAAAAAAACCACTTTGTAACTGTCGAGTGCAACCGCTGTTAGTAACCGCCGCGAATCATTGAATTGCGGCGGCACTGCAACTTGAAACGGTTCAACTTCCGAGCCGGGCCGCGGCGCGGCCGGCTCCGAGTGACTCGGGCACCGTCAGGGCCGGTGGACCGGCCCGGGCCTGGCAGTGACGACCCGACGGGGCCCCCGTGACGGACGAGTACGGTCTCGGACCGGGCCGGCGGCCCGCCCGGCTGCCGGGCCCGGGCGGCGCCGGCCGGGCGGCGGGGGCCCAGCCTGGCAGTCGGACCAGGTTAAGTTCACGCGGCGACGGCGCCGGACTCAGTGAGTCGGAGCCTCGGAGTGCAGTGCCCGGCTCACGGTGAGTAAAACTTCGGAGTCAGTGCAGAGTACCAGTGCACTGAGTTTAGTTAAGTTCAGTGAAAGATCAGTACTACGGTACGACTCGAGGACAGGCCCGGGTGCACTGCGGCCTTGCCACCGGCCGCGGCGCGACTGGCCGGCAAACCGTGAACGGTCGGTGCCACGTTGGCACCCCGGCGGCCGTCACTGTTGCAGTGCCGCAGGCCGCCGCGTGACTGCGGCGCCACTGTACGGTGAGTCACAGGCTGCCAGGATCGACTTGAAGCCTGCCGGCGCCCGCGCCGGCCGGGCGCGACCCGTCACGGCCGCCGGGCGGCCGTGACGGACGGTACTGTACCTGGTACTCAGCGGCGGCAGCTGATGGCGGCTCCCGGCCCCGAGAGTCACTGAGGCCGCCGGTGTGAAGCCTACCGTACTAGCGAGTCTCAGCGCGTGGCACCATCACCGTGGCCGGGCACGCCGGAAGGTAGCCTTGCTACGACTTACCGTGCTTTCACCGACAGGCTCATCATGACCGTACGGTCTTGAAACATTTTACGTATCAATGTTAAGTTATTTTGGCATCATCTCATCCGAGTTTCAAAAAACCAACTAATCAGTGTGCTGCAAGATGGCGTGAAAATTTCGTTCTGGTTGGGAAATGACAGTTTCTCCTGGCACGATGTTTCGTGGACCCGAGCATGTCGCGGATGTGTACGAAAGCTGTCAGTGTAATCACGACAGCAAACAAACCGCAGCTTGTGACTTCGGCATTGTACATATGCAAGGTTTATTAATTATTGTACTTTACAACGGACAAATCTCCCATGATGAATGCCATATCAATGCAATGCTCACGATATGTAGGGTCTGAGAACAAAGTTTCCATGGACGTCAATTGAACTTTCCATTGGGTTTGACCTGGCAAGGAGAACTTTTGAATAGCCTCCGTTATCAACGAAGTTTCCTTTTCGGTCAATGCCTTTCTCCATGGCTGCTCTTTTTTCAGCACGATGCACCAACCGTGAATGAAACAGTGGAACAGAGGAACTCCTGCTGAACTGTGGTATGTCATTGAAACTGTTGTTTTCTTTCAGCCTGTACATCGAATGGCATCGCTCCATGCTCGATTTAGCCATTTCGTTAGTACGGGTATCTAAGCTGTTTTTCAGTAAACTGATCATCGTAATCAGATGCAACTCGCGTTCTTGCATGCCAAGAATATCGCTGCACAGTTACTGGAGTTCCAATGCAGTCTTGTTGGATCGATGTCAATCTTCAACAATGCTTATAACGCAACGGAGTGTCTGAGAGTGGTGAAGGGTCTTGGAGGGATCTTTCAGAAAAGGTGGGGATGCAGAACGGTATGCCGTATGCTGTATTCAAGAGTATCGTGTCGACCGAGGACGTGTTCTGAGAGCTAGCCACTCCTGCACAAGCAAGTTACAAGTATCCCATTCAGTACCCTACCCCCAAATATCCAAGTCCTTGATGTACCCCACCCCTATATTCCTCTTTAATTTACCCACCTTTTGACCATTCCGATATCTCCTCCTTCTTCAACACCGGTAATACATTGCCCCCCATGTTGTACTACCCTACCCCCTCAAGGCATTCCGTGTTCCAATACCCACCATGTGAACTGGTCAGACACAAGTCTCAGACACCGGTGGTATTCCACCCACCCCAGCAGGTCTCATTTGTACTTCCACGAGTCGTAAAAAAGGAGTTTTGTAAGCTCCTCCGGGGAGTGAGGCCTGAGGGGCACGAGGGGAGCGGAGGGCGTATTCCAGGCCTCACCCCATTTATCTTAGTGCCTCACTTGGAAGATCTGTCATCTTGCGTTGCCGTCTTCGAACTGCAATCTCGGGAATTGATCACATAAATTTGATCAATCTCGGACGCACCAGGAGCAAAAGAAAGCTCTCCCAAAATGAGTCTTTTCATATCTCGGACATCGTTCGAGCGGGGGGGGGCGGGGAATCAAAATCACTCCCTTTCCGTGATATGCTGTATGCGAAATATAAAATTATATTATAAATATCTACCACTACCACTGAATAATTAGAGTTTTAGTGCTGAGACCTCTTGCTTCTTCCGAGTGTCTAACTTTGAGTAAATGTCCAAAGCCGGTCCGTCATCAGACGAATGCCGGGCCCGGGCCCGATTCCCTAACGGAGTTGTAACGGGACCTTGTCGAAGGTTGTAACGGCCTGGTAGGGAAGTCATTTGTAACGGTTTCTTTGATGGGGTTGTAACTGTCATTTGGCGCCATGTCCTGATTAGGAAGGAGGGGAGGGGGATAGCAACTGAGGTGGGGGTAGGGAGGAGACAGGATAGGGAGACAGGATACAGGAGGGAAAGGAACGAGGGATCGGCAGCACGAGATACCTTTGAGGGATCCGCCGTTGCAGAGAAAGAATGGGAGGAGTCGGATCGAAGTTGTACGAAAGCAAGTGCTGTAGTAGGGAAAGGCGGGGAATCGTTTGTTGATGGTTTCTACAGGAAGACCTCCTTCTCATCCACGATGAGTGTCATCTACATGACAACGGTGAATCCCAGAACATGGCGATCAAGATTGTCGCTGATATCTGAGGACAGGATCTGCTTGCGAGGCACAGCGAGTCTGCTGGAGGAACATCCAGGTTTGTTGTCGCTGCCAGGGCAAGGTGTTGTTTGACCCGGGGATGTCTACAGGCTCGAAACTCTTTCCATTGACGGACGAGTGAGACGAGACAAGATCAGAACCATTGAGAACCTACATGTCTTGCCAGCACTGACGAAGCTCTCTTTGCCTTGCCATGTGATCGAGAAGCTCGATGCAGTCGTGCATGCGGCACATCTGCAGTCACTGATCCTCTCGCACAACAAGATCCAGAAGATTGATGTCTTGGAAAAGCTTGTCCACTTGCGTGTGGTTGACCTGAGCTCGAACTTGATCTGCAGCATCCCTCAGTTCTCGAATCTCAAACTTCTGCACACCTTCGCCTTGTCAGACAACAAGATCGTTGATGTGAATGAGCTGAGGAAGTTCAAAAGTCTGCCCAATCTTTCAAATTTGTCACTCAGGGGCAATCCTGTTTCGGAGCAACCGCATACTAGGTCGTTCGTGATTTATACTGTCAAACATTTGGACATCTTGGATGATCGGGAGATAGACTGCCAGGAACGGCAGCAATCAGTGGAGAGGTTTGAAAGAATGGACGTCGAAGCCTTGGAAAACAATCTTAGAAGATCTCAACAAACTGTTGCTGATCTTCAAAGAATGCTGGACGAAAAGAACGGGACGATTGTGGCGATGGAGGGAAAGATTACGCAGCTGGAAAATCGACTTGCCGAGGCCAAGTTGGAGAACGAGAAGAAATCATCAACAATATCTGAGCTAGAAGGTATTCTGAAAAGAAAATCGAAACAGCTGTCGCAGACTGAAGCTCTCATCTTCAAGATGCAGAATGAGATCGAGCATCTCAAGTTTTCATCAACCGCAATGACTCCCATTCAGCCAAGGTCGAACTATGAGAGCCCCGGGATCAACCCAAGCTCGAACAAGAGAGTGAATGCTCGTTTGCATGAAATGAGCGATGTAAGGGCAGGTGTACATGAGTCGATGGAGGCAAGTTATGCTGAGATCAGGAGAGGTGATGATGGTGAATGTGACGAATCAGACCACGAACATTGGATGGTTTTTTCAAGTGGACAAAAGTCTCCTGAGTGTACAATGTTGTTGAGAGCAGCAAACGAGTTGTCTGCTGATCGTACGAGTCATGATGTAGAGAATGATATTGTGGGCAACGAAATGGCGGAACGAGGGTTGATAGAGACTGATGAAGATGCGCAAGAGGAGAATGAAGAGCAGGTTGCCCGGATCAAACTTGTACTTGAAAACCTTGACAAGAGATTTGCGATCGTTCAGAATGAAATGGAACTGATGAAAGACAAAGTTGACGATGTGAGAATCCGCAAGAAGAAAGAGTCCTTACAGGCTCAGCTGGATAGCATTGCTGAAGAAAGAGATCAGTGCGTGAGGAGCTTGAGAATGCGTGACTGTGAGGTTTCGTCATTGAAACAGCAAGAGAAAGAAGCTAAATCTATTTCTCCGTTGGATGATTTCGAAGCGATGTGCAATGAGCGCTCTGAGAATTTCATTTCTGGCACGTTTTACAACAACAATGATTTTGTGAATAGTTCTGTCAAACTTCCTTTGCGATCTACAGGCTTGGAAGAAGATAGTTCAGAATTGCCTTTCAGTCTCCCTTTGCGATCTACTGGCTGGGAAGAAGACAGCATGAAGCAGGTTTTCCGAAAGCTCGAGGAGATTTTTGTCGTTCACTGTAATGACATTCGAATTGAGTCTCTGGATGATGTTGAGAATGCATTCGCGCAAGTGTTTGTGAGCTTGCAGAAGCAGGAAAAGGTTGCGAAAGTCAAATTGGATGATGAAGAACCAGGTGTTCACGAGTTGTGCACCACAGACCAAGATAAGAGCTCGAATCCCGTGATGTACAATCCCGATGTCAGAGATGACGAGATCGAACTTCTGCGCTCCATCATCGCAGCCAAAGATCAAAGGCTGAGGGCCCTGGAGTGCTTGCAAGACAAGGCCGTCGTTCCCGATGCACCTGTGCCATCGAGTCACTCGTCAGGAAGCGACGATGAAGAGATTGAAACGAGAAGACAAGATATGATGAGACTGTCGCAGGAGTATGAGCAACTCACAAGGGATTGTCAGAAGGCAAAGGAATTGAAGGCGAAATTTGCATCTGAGACTGAGGTTGCGAGATCGCAGTACGAGAGAGCTTCAAAAATATTGGTTGAGTTGCAAGCTAAGATCGAGAAGAAGAAAGCTGTCATGAAAGAACTAGAGAAAGATGAACTCGAGATGAAGTCATTATCTCTACACACCGAGAAGCAGGAGGAACAGTGCGTAGGAACAGGCACTAGATCACCTTCCTGTCAACAGCTGCAACCTCTATCACTGGATCAAGTGCAATGTTTGAGAGATGAAATCGAATCTTGCCGTGTTGAGCTTGCTCTTGGTCTGCATGACTTGCGTCCCAGCATCGAGAACTTTGCAGGGAAGAAAACAAGATCACACGTTCAGTACGTCATATCAGGATTCAAGCTTGCCATTGGGCAGGTTGTAAAGGATCTTCGGCAGTGCGATGGAGATGTTTCCCTCCTCATGGAGCGGCTCCGAGAAGTTTCCAGCAGAGCAGAGACTGACTCACATGACGTCGAATTTTCGATCACTGGCAGGGGTCAGACATCACACGATGCCGACGATGCTGCCGTAGTTGCTCATTGTAATGCTCCAAGTGCTAGGGACGTGACGGTTCGCATCAACTCTCAAGGATCTGAGGCAAATTTCGCCGATCATGTTCACAAGGTCGACTCCTGTTCAGGTGGATCGACTGCGGATGAAGGCGAGTTGAAGGAGCAGCGAGATGCTGAAATTGTCCACCTGTGCGATGCCTCATCGCAGGTTGCTGGCGAACGCTTCTTCATCGGAGAAGCACATGCTCTGCTGACTGATGTGGGGGAGATCTCGAGAGTCATGGAGGAGATCTTGTTGAGGACCATGGTGGAAAGTGCATCTGCGGACTTGAGACTGAACAAGCATCCGCCCGAGGTTGCTGCTACCAAGATGGAGATCTGTTGTCACGTTGACGAGATCAAGCAGTTTGTCCATGAATGTTCATTTCTGTTTCGGGATCTCAACGGCTCGATGAAATCGATCTCGTTCGAACTGCATCAACTGCATCAAGATGCAGACAAGGCTCGTAACGACAGTCAGGGTGTGCAAAAACATCTCGAGCATGTCATTTCCACTTCTCAACGTTTGGTTGTCAACCTTCAGACTGAAGTCAAGGAGATGAAGGAGGTAAAATGCAGACTTGCAGATGAAGTCGATTGCTTGCAATCAGACTTGGTCCGATTGCAGCGAGAAAACGAGAAGGAACTAAGTCTGACAAGACAGATACAAGGTCAAGTTGTTGAGCTCAGTGGTTTCGATATTGAGCAATTGTATGAAGATTGCAACTTGACTCTTCAATCTATGTTGGTTCTCGTGCGGGAAAAAGAGGATCTGATACAGAGGATCTCTCATTTCAGCCATGTCAAGGTGTCCCTCGAGAATGACGTCATCAGACTTGGGCAAGAGACGTCCCACATGAAGTCTGTCTTGCTGGATTTCTCTGCCTTGGAGAGTGACTGTTCTCGGGCACTTGCTCAGTATGAATCTTTTGCTGATGAGCTGGAACGTCAGATTGTTGCAATTGCAGACAAATTTTCTTTGATCAAGCAAGCGAAGAACGTTCTCAACGACAGTATTGCTCACAGTAGAAGCGAATATTTCCAGAAGAAGAGCGACTTACAGGAGTTGTTGGATGTCTTGAGGCAGAAACAGATTGAGAAGGAAAGGATGGAACTTGACATCCAAAGCAAAGAGCAACTGATTGCGGCAGCTCAAAACAAGGTAGAGGAGCAACAGGTCAAGCTCGAGACCGTCAAGGATGACGTGGCAGATCTTACTGTTCAGCTTGCATCTCTGCACAAGGATCTTGAGAGCTTGCAGACCAGCAAGTCTGCGATGAAAAGAGAAAATGAAGAGCTCTTGCGGCAGAATGAATGTCTTCATCTTGAGCTACGAGCCAAGAGAGATGAAAGCAAGGAGATCGAAAGCTCCGTCCAATCCTTGCGAGAGACTGGAAGAGGCCTTGTTCAACAGATCTCACTGTTGGAGGAGGTTCAGGCTGGTTTTGAAGGAGGGCTGAATGTAGTTGAGGAGCAGATGGACTTTCTGTTCACTCAGCTGACTCCTCTGCACGTTGAGATGGCTGCGCTCAGACTTCGGTGGGAGGAATCGCTGAGAGCCAAGGAGCAAGATTTCACAGCCCGGCAGGCGATCTTCATCCGAGAGATCTCGGCGAGACGCGAGGAGCACGCGATGCTCAAGAAGATGGTCGAACAGTTGCAAGTCCAGCAGGAGGAGAGCGGCGACGTCATACAAGGATTGCTCTCCATCTTCAGCGAAGTCGAGCGGCAGGTGGATGTGGACGCGGTGCGGCTCCACCAGGTGGTGGCGATGAAGGGAGGACTGATCCGCCAGCTGGAGGAGCTTGTTGCTGCTCTTGACGAGGAGCGCTTTCAAGTGCAGGAGGTCGGGAGAGAGCTTCTACAACTCTTCCTGTCTGCGCAGGAGGAGGCTCGCCTCCTGTCTGAACGGGAACGGGAGGAGGAGATGGCCTGGGAGCAGCTCGGCTCGCAGATCACGTCGAGGGAGAGGATGCTGCGCAGCTTGAACGAGGCAGTGGCGGACACTGAGCAGGCGCTGCAGCTCAAGGAGAAGAAACTGGAGGAGTGCAAGGGGGAGCTTGCAATGCATGAAGAGAGGCTGCTACAAGTGATCGAGGAGGGGTATCGCCTCCGATGCAGTCAGGAAGAAGACGACGGCAAACTCAAAGCTGCCCTCAACGAACTCGAACGAGCGAGACGCGAGCTGGCTGAGGTTGAGCAGGAGCGAACTGCTCTGCAAGATGATGTCGTGGAGCGTCAGGACATGGTGAGGAATCTCGAGGAAGTTCTCGTGGATCTTGAGGCTCAGAAGGGGCAGCACGAGAGGAGGTTGGTGGAGCTCTCTAGCCTGATGGGAGCAGCTCTAGAGCAAGTGGAGGGCCGAGCGACGGATCTCGACAGTGTTGTAGGAGGATGTAATGATGCATTTGTTTCCCTTGCAAGGAACATCAGCATCAGGAGAGGCAAGAGCTCTCTGCTCAGGTGATGAGATGACACGGTCTTGCATTGCTTCCTGACATGTTCGCGGATGGAGCAGGAAAGAGTCGGAGAGCTTGTCGACCCACCTTGACGAGTTGCGAGGTGAAGCCCAAAGTCTGCAGGACCAAGTGTCCGAGCTGGAGCATCGGAGGGAGGGTCTCAAGGAGGAGCTTGCGCACCTCGAGAGTCAAGTCCAGACGCTCGGGTCTCGACGGACTGACTTGCAAGACTCACTAGCACAAGGTGACTGATCGGAAGTGTTGAAATCCCTCCCGTGTGACAATCTTGTCCGCACAGCCCTCGACATCGAGGCCTCGTCCCACCACCTCACGACTGACGTGCACGAGTCTGCCGAGCGTGTAATGGAGAGCGTCGAGCAGCTGATCGGAACCCTCGAGGCTGTTCACTGCAGGTTGTTGTCGGCGAGCGATGTTTCTACGAGGGACCTCGACA